TCTAATTCGATTGTTTTTGGTTCAACTAGCAACTAACGATTCATAACAAGTAATTTCAATCTCACTACTCAAAACACAATTCAAATAATGGTAAAGAGACTAGGGTGACGGGGACAATCGTTTTCGATTCTCAATACATTTAACGGGCAATCAACTACTCGGCTAACGAACTTGAAACAACTAATTCATCTAGAGATTCATTCTCAATAACTCACGTAACAAGAAAATAAACATAAACGAATAATTATCGAATCAATTAACACATAGACAATACGTTTTTAAACAAGTCTATTCTAGACGGGCCGAGATCGATCAATTTCTCCCCTTTCGGTTCTAAAATCAAATAATAGATTAAGATGGTGATCATTCATCCAACCCTAGGTTTAACATAACGCGTATAGATTGAGCAATCAACATTCACACAAATGAAATTGAACCGGAACAATTATTCCCTAACCCTAGCTAATGAATTTAGACACTCATTGCAATCTCAATACAAACATTCACAATCAAACAAGCCATCAAATTCATGTACCAAATGAAAAGAAGTGCTTACGATTAATATCAAATCCAATGCCGAGAAAAGCAACGAACAATCCAAATCCACAAGCTAAAGAAGGAGTTTGTACTCTCCAAAATCCAATCTAAGCAAAAACCAAGTGAAATATATGTTCTAGTAGTGAAAAATACGAAAAACACAATTCTGGAATGTGTAAAATACGCCCTAAGCTCGATCTTGTATGTTCCCAATTCGAAATTCTGAGAAAAACGTGGTTGTTACGAAACAGGGGTTAGCGGCGCTAAGGGGTTAGCGTCGCTAAGGCTGGAGAACCCCGAGCTGCTGCCTGCCGCTATGCTGTGTAGCGCTGCTATCTTAATTGGTCATAGCGGCGCTAAGGCCTGGACTGCTCCAAAAATTCAACGTCTTGGGCTCGCGTGCTCTCAGCTAGCGTCTCTCGGGTCTCTCCCGAGCTAAAAAAACTCGATCCTCACATGCTCTAGTCGCACGAACTGGTGTGGAACTCCTGGAAACCGGAACGGAATGCTTTTCTATCTCCAAAACCTGAAATCATCACCACCGAACAAACACAAAAACACGAGAAAATAGGAAGAAAAAACAAGAAAATACTAAACGCACCTAAATAATACTAAAACACGAAAAACGACTAGAAGGACCAGAAAATCCTAAGAAATGACCTAAATTAGGGGAAACGACACACAAAATACCGATAAAAATAGCAGCAAAAATGGGACAAACAATATGTAATTGGATGACATTATTTGCTGAAGTTGTCTCATGAAAGTTGTAGGAGCATGACATAGAATTATTGTCCAACTTGAATCATCATCATATGACGTGTGTGCTGAGAGTTGCATTTATTTTAAGTTCGCTGTGCAAGCTGAATTTTATGAGTTATATGCTCGGTTTGTGAAATTACTATTACCGTCGCAATGTATGTTTATGTGGCCTTGTTGATCTATTCCATGTTACTTGGAGTTAACTGATCCTTAAATATCTTAAGCTGAGGCCTGAGAGTATTAAGCAAGATGAGCTATCAACTAACCTAAGACTTTAAACATATAGTGTTTTTAAAGCATACAAGCGAGGCGAAACCAAGTGAGCTAGTTTTTACAGATTAAGTATGTGTATAAGTATAAGATATGGTGAGCCTTGATAAGACACTAAGACTTGCCTCAATGAATGTAGTTATCGAGGAGTTGAGCCCTCGCAATTTTCTTCCAAGTCAAGCCTAGTCGAACATTCGAAAAGGTGGGGGAAGTTCTACGTTATTTATCCTTCTTGATTATTTATGTTTTGAATGAAGTTAAGTAGTTTGCATAGTACTCATGCTTATAAAATGTTCCAACATTCGAGCAAGTCATTTGTTGCAAGTACCAAGGTTCACGGACTATGCGAGGCTATTGTGAATAGTGCGTTTTTAAGTTCTTCAAGGTTATGTAAAGTTTAAAAGTAGTAGTGCCCTTGAGCTTAATTTTTTTTTTTTTATTTTTTTGGCCGAAACAATAGAAGAACTATTATAAATCAAATGCACAAATGAATACAAATCTCCTAATAGGAGAATAAAATGGGAGGACATGTCAGATGACCGCCTAGAAGCCCGACTCTAGCAACGTTAGAAACAAAAACAAGACTTGCGAGACAACTACCACAACGAAACAGCTAACACAACAAAACACAAGAAGAACTACGAAGCTCCCAACAGGAGAATAGAGACAGGAGCTGCTCCCAATAGGAGAATAAAGGTTGCTCCTGCTCTGGATTACAGAGGCCAACGGCCCAAACAAAAAAAAAAAACAACTCATAAACGACACAAACACAATCACAAAAGATACACTAAAACAAAACACCTAAAAACCAACTAGAAGAGCCTTTCCTTAGCAGAAAGATCGAGTCGGACCAACAGATGAACAATCGATATCAGGGAGAGATCTGAAGGCCCGGTACCTGCAACCTACATTGCCTATAGAAAAGAAAAATATATTCAAGAAATTCAAGGTATGAAAAGTGGGGTGTTACAGTTTGCTCAACCGCACCAGGAACTTTTTGTTCTGGGTACGTGGAAGGTCGAATTGGTTGCTAATGGAGGTCCCGAAGTTAGGAGGAGGTGGCGGAGGGCTGTCAGTTGTATCGAGGTTAGACGACAATGGAAGGTTGTTGTAGATGAATGGAGACGGCAGATGAAATCACTGAGGCAACAGAGGAAACGACGGGGAAATTTGCAGAGGAGGTTCGGCGGCGGCGCGGCGACGGCGGAGGCTTGACAGAGGCGGAGTTGTGGCGACGGCGGCGGCGACGACTATGGATGGTTGAAGGGTCCGGCGTTGAGCGTGTGTATTTCTTCGGCAAATGTGTGCTCCCTGTATGTGTGTGTGTGTGTGTGTGTGTGTGTGTGTGTGTCGCGTGC